TGACACAAATTTCAACAATAGTAACAAAAAATTAAACAAATAATATAAATTATGTTGAGTTTCATCTTAGAAGAAAAGGCTTAGAGCAAAAAATTATGAAAAATGATGATGTTGCAATATATGGCAATTAATATGAGACGATAAAATTATAAAAGCAATATTATTTATATATATATATATAGAATAATAATGAAACAAAAGGCTGTAAATTAGTGGCAAATTAGTGGCTTGGCTTGCCGTTGAAAATAACTTTCAAATCGTTCATGCATGGACACGATATAACATGCATACGAAGAAGGAGAATATATTCTATGTATGGATATAATAAAGTCAAAATTGATGCTGATAACAATGACTAATAGTTATTTGAAGAAAATGAACTTTTACTTCATTTTTGATAAAGATAAGGATAAAGTGTTGATTTTGTGAGGGGCCACTTATTATTTGAATTCTTGTAGTTGGGTGCTATATAAGCGATGTTCATAAGGCCACAAGTCAATAACCCCAAAACATTTCATTAGTGTGGGTAGGTTTCTAAGTTACTAATGGTAGAGAAGAAGAAGAAGAGAGGCCTTACATGATGAAAAGAACCTCGTTTACTAGCCAAGGATGACTTGCCTAGCCTAATATATATAGGGTGTACGAACGCGATGCGTGCTCCGGCCTGTTCGTTAATCGTTAGGCGTTAGGCAGTCGTCCTTGGCTACGTTGACAGACTCTTTTCTTTCCATGCTTGACCTTCTTTTCTTGTTTATAGACTATAGTTGGGAAATGCACAAGAAATTTGTGTGTCAAAGAGACTTAAGACTTTATACTCTGCATGTTGTGCTATGAAATAGATATTCTCATACTTATGAATGTATGGTTTGTGTGAGCAAAGATCCCTTATCGAGTAAAGAGTAATAGTATTCACTCACCCCCTTAAACTTTGTATCATGGTCCGTTCACTATTACATTGTTTTCATAATTAGTATAGTACATTAATATGTAGCATTTTACTGTGCGAAAACTTGCATAAAAACTCAACAATATCATACGTTTTGTACCCATCAAGAAAAAAAATTAATTACAGAGCATACATATGTATGTGATGTACTACTTCATTCTTTTTTATTTGACAAGTTTCATTTATTATTTGTCAATGCATTAGATAATTGGTAACTATATTTTCAGCAAGTAAAAACTATTTTAAATAGAGTCAATACTATGTTTTTACTTGTATATACATCACTAAAATAAAAAGAAGATCAAAATATGGAGTATGCTCAAGCTCAAGCTCAAGCTCAATGAGTCAATTCTTTAGTTTTACAAGTTTTTACAACACGTCTTTGTTGTTCGGGCGTGGGCTTACTATCATTTAATTTTAAGAAATCCAGAATCACAACTCTTGGGCGATATTACTTGGGCCTACTTACAGTCATAGTAGTTGGAGTCTGCAGTTTTTAGCATTAATTGATCCAATCATGTAACCACTGTCCATCCTACACCCAAAAGTCCGGACCTTTTGGTTTCCCTCCTCTTGATAATGAGCCCAAATACCTAATGCAAAATAAGTGCTACTACGTATTATAGTTATACTCGCTCGTTTTTAAATACTAACTCCATTTCTTCATGTGCGGAGTTTTAGGAAGAAATTGGAGAAAGTAATTACATATGTAGGTATTAGGGTAAGGGAAATAATAATAAAAAAATTGTAAAAAGTAAAAGTAGTTGAGAGACTTGGAGGAGAGAGAATATAAAATATGATTTATATTGTGTCCACTAGATGAGATAAATGAATTAAATATTGTAAAAGATTTCCAAATAAAAAAATAGAACAAGTATATAAAAATGTCGAAAAAAGAAAGTAGAACAAGTATTTAAAAACAGAGGGAGTACTTCTTCTGTTATACGCCTTATACTTACCTCTATTATTTTTTTTAACACGTACTGAGTATTACTTTTTAAAAAGTTTATTTTTTAATTGACATATTTTCTTTTGGGGTAAGTTTTATGCTATACATTTACTAGTGTACTCCCACTTGCTTTATCATTCTCTCTTATTCTCTATCATCTCCTTAATATGTGTGCCTAAATCAAACGTGTCAATAAATAGCAACGGAGGAAATATAAGATATCAAAAAATTACACATAATATGTAACGGATGTAGTACGTGCTATCTCTGCTCATTATCAATCCAATTCTACAAGATTTATTTACTTAGATGAGTTATCTCCGAACATATTCAAATTATTGGAAGAGCTTGCAACCATTCACAATGATCGCGATTATTAGGCAATTATATATCATTGTAAGGGGTCTAATTTTCCAATAATTAATTTGATAACACGAAGATTGTTCCCTTCTACTTAAGGCAATTAAGTTGAGTACGATTATGTAAAGCAAGATTATTTGACCAAAACATCACAACTTAATTGTTAAAAGGTGGCCCCCCACGTGACCATAATTGGTGGATAATATTAGAAGATGTTGGTCTTGAAGACTTTGGTTTTCAACGGGGGTACCCACAATTGGAGGAGTATAGAATAATGTTTCTATATTGCCCCATTGATTGGGAGAACATGTAGAGTAGATAGGTTGAGATTTTCTTTTGGGAAGACAATAACATTTCTTCCTTTCTTAGATACCCTTAGTCACAAAGTGTCCCAAATCCGAATCATATCAATGATTAACCAATCCAACTTCAAAGTCTAAATCTTATAAGTGTAACTTATACAAGAATACCATAGTAGTATTTCAAGGTTTTTGACCTCTTGTCAACCTCAACACAATAAACGGCATACTTTGTGTCTTTGTACTGTTCGTCTTATAAATATTGCCTCGTCGGGTATTTAATTTCACCTTATAATGATCAGTTATATGAAATGAGTAGACATGTATTGTATATTTATTGTTAAATATTAATGCATTTATGCATGTGTGAGGAGGAAGTGAACAAAGTAGAGAAAAATTATAAGAACCATGCATGGTAGCAATGCTGCATGTGAGGGAATGGATTCCTTATCCTTTTTCCTATTTGTTAGCAAAGAGTTTATCCATAACTCATGTCAAATTAACTTATGCGAGGTTGTAGTCAAATAAAACGCAATCTATATACTACCAAAAAAACATGTCAAGAGCTCGAGTCTACATATTACACGTATGTAAGAATCGAAGTCAAACTCACAACATACTCTATCGGTGATGCTTTCAAATTTGAAAGCCATGATCAGCACTTAAAAATATTGCTGATGATCAAGTGTAGAGCATTGTACTCCGTATAAAGCACGTACAAAAAAAGTTAGAATAATGTTTCTATCTTATCCTTGAAGATTGCAACATGCATGCATGCATGCTTGATTACACAAGTTGATCAACATATACCAATGCCTTTTTTTTTTCTTTTCCTTTTTCCTACACAAAATTAGTTGAGTGGTCCAATGGTCACTTTGATATATTACTACATTCTTCAATTCTACTACCCTTTTCATGTCAAATCTTTGCTAGATTCATCAAGCTAAGCATAATGATCGATATATATACAAAAAGTCAATTACACATTGAATTAAGTCCTACCCAATCTTCACTCAAAAAAAAAAAAAAAGGTCCTACCCTATCTCTCTGCAATACTTTTTTATTTTATTTTATTTTTTAAATGTAGAATAGAATCTAAATAATTTTGACCCTAATTTATGTGGAGTCAAACAAAGTGTATATCTATATATTCCACAATAATTCGTGGAAATAGCTAAATGAACTATAAAAGAGAGGGTATTAGAATTTCAACAATAGTATGGATAGAAAACGCATATATGTCATCCAAGGAGATGGGCTAAAGCTGGTTGGAGGGTTGGAGCACCAATTAGAAATTTATTAGAATCCGATCCCATTAATTATTATATATTTTGTAAAATAATATGCTTATTCTTCTTCTATCTAAGAGTTTTACGTGTATATAAGTGGTTCCTAGGAAGTTGACATTATTCACACAAGCAATAAACTGCATGCAATGCTCATTATTAGTAAAAGAATAAAGAGATCAATAGAGAAATGTGTTGCATGAAAAAGGTACGTGGTCTTACATGATGATAAGTCTTATTTGGTAGCCAAGGATGACTTGCCTGGTATTGCATGCGTGCTAAGCTAAGCTAGCTAGACTGTGCTTCGATTGATCAAGTTGAAGGCATACACCAAGCAAGTCATCTATGGCTTGCTGATAAGCTCTTATCTTTCATGCTAGGCCTCGCGCTTCTCATATACACGTATCAACAAGTAATAATCGAGGTAAAGAAATTCCAGATTTTTTTTATTAGATTTTTTTTTATCGAATTAGATTTAAAAAGACGTATATGTATTACAATACAATTTAATTCCTTTATTAAAATAAAATTCTATTTGATTCGGAACAATTCTCCTTTCTAATAACTTTTTTTCCCCTTAATTAAGTGATAGTTTAACTTATATAGTAGACCATTTTAAATACGTACGTGCCTAAATTTGTAGTACAACCATAAAAAATAAAAAATTATTTATTTATTTTTTGACATATGCTTAATCAAAATGAATTAAAGTTAGATAATGCCAAGCAATAAAAGCATTAAATGGTATTTAATGCTAAAATATAACTAAAAATAGAGCAAAAAAAAAGGGAAATACAAGCAAGATACCTTAGAATGAGTACCTTACAAAATGCAGAAGACGCGGAAGAAAAAAAAAGGTGACAAAAATGAATAATGGTAACAATGAAAAAAGAAGGACGTAGAACCACACACATTGACACATGTGACATATCTATTGCAAAGAAAATTAAATTTAGAAACGGTTCTTACGGAGTTGAATTCTCTATTCCTTTGGTTTTCCCAACATTCTTACTTTAAAAGGGACATTCAATCAAAAACAATAATCAAAACATAATAGTTTTATAAACTAACAAGCCAATTTTATTATATATATACATTGACAAAGTGAGACCAACAAATGGCGTGTAAAAGAGGAACATCCTTGGTATGGATGATGGTCGTGGTTGTCGCGGTGATGCTGGTGGCTGAAAATGGGAGGATGTGCTCGGCATTTGACTTCGGTGAGGCAAAAGACGCCGTGCTAGACAAGGCTGAAGAGGCCAAGGATTGGGCTTACAATAAAATCTCCGGATCCGGGTACATACTTGTCCTGTATTTTGATCATTTTCATATTATCTGACCACTTAATTAACTTTTTTTTTTTTGCATGCACGTTTTAATTCATCAAATGGTGTATAAATAATTGATATTCATAAATGTCTTCCTTTTCAAAATGAATTTTAATTTGAGTATGAATTACAAATATAATTTCTAAGTTGTATGTATATGCTTTTGCCAGGAAATTGAGTGTTAACCCGCAAAACATGAAACATGCTGCTGAAGATATGATGCGTGATGCTCCTGGTAAAATAATTTCCTTTTTCCTATATAAATCTGATCCTTTTAGTACATTATTTGGCCCAATTGTATCTATGATAATGCAACGAACTATTGTACAAATGACGTAGATATAACCCAATCTTAATTCATTATACTAGTATATACTATCCTAAATATGTTTCAACAAAAAAAAAAAAAAAAAATACTACGGAGTAGCTTAATTTGACACCTAGACACGTACTAGCTAGTATATGACATGAACAAGTACCCGAGTCAAAATAACATGTTATTACAATATAAAATATTTCATAAATTCATATTCTTCATTTCATCTCAAATACTAGGTACCGAGAAATTTGCTTCAGGGAAATTACACGCAGTTTCACACTCAGTGAAAGATGGTAACGAAAGGTTTTATGCAGAGGCAAAGCGCGACGCCGGGCCAGCCTACGATTCCTTGGCTACGAAAACCGTCAGGGAAGATTAATTTCATTCATATAAGAGATAACCAGCCTTATAAGCCTCAGATAAATTTGGGCAAGGTTGCTTGCTTCTAAGATGCATTCAACGGTCTTAAATTAATTTGTTGAATGATCAGTTTTCCTCCTACTTTAATTTAGGATAAAACTATATATGTACATGTATAGTTTTCATGAAACGATAATAAATGGTGAAATATTTCTAAAACTTTTGTTATAAGTGTAATTTATTAGTGAGTTAGAGTTAATTAGTAGGTATATGTATAATAACCTTATAATCTTGTGTGCTAATTGATGCCGGAGATTATTTTTTGGGTGTAGAATGTACTCCAAATAGAGAAGGTTTAAATGAAAATATATTTACATAATTTTTTAAAGAGTATTTGCATAAGTTTGACCACGTATTATTTCTGCATATTATGGTGATGAAATTGTTACAATAATTACAAAAGAATTTTATGGAAACTACATACGATGACCATCGTGAAATGCAAGAGTATTGATCAACTATGCAAAATTGTAACTAATAAGCTAAGGCATTATCATTTATTCATTTTATCCAAATTCTCTCAAAATAAATAACAAGATAATTTCCAACTTAAGCAAGTTTAATTTTTGGTTCCAATTGCCCTACATCTTAATATTCAAAAATTCAAAATATTTTAAAAAAATAAAATAAAATATCCCCATATCCAGCTCAGAACGAATCATCAAACCAAACAATTAAAATATATGTTGTACATGTTAGTGTATTACTATATGTTGGAACTTGCTTTTCAAACATTAAATTAGCCACAATTCTAACTTCTAAGTCTTAGATAATGGTAAAGCCTAAGGTTAATATTGGACATGGACTAAACACAATATGATACATTTATTGTCAACACATACATACGAGTTATTATAGAATTATCATCTCCAATTTATTTAAACATAACACATAAGTAATCCTAAGAAAATCCCAATCTTTGAATTAAATTAATGTAATACGTTTCATAATATACTTTTTTTTTCCTAATAATTGCCGCTTTTATTATTTCTTAACAAGCATATAGTAGTAGTCGATTTGTAGTCATACTAGTCAATTATAAGGTTCTAATTAATAGCAGGATGTAACAACGTGGCAATCGGATAAAACCTTTACCAGAATGTGGCAACTATAGAAGATGACACGTAAGAATATATGTAATAGCCCTTTAACAGATGCAATTCTCACCTATGTTTCCAAACGTACACAATAACACAACCCAAAACCTTTAATTGAACTGTATCATCAATTAATTTCACAAAGTTATTATTGTTGTTCGTTATTATCAAAATAGTTTGAAAAGCCAATTATCATTTCTAAACATATAGAAAGAGTGGATGTAATGGTGTGTAGAATAGCAGCAATGATGGTGTGGGTGGTGGCTGTGACGGTGGAGGCGGCGGCGATAGTGGTTGCAGAAAATGGTACGATCATGTGTTCGCCGTTCAATACTATGGAAGAGTCTGCTCACCCTTGGACTGACGATTGTTACGGGTATATACTTTATTTTTGTACCAAATATCTATTAACCATCTTTATACTAGCCTCTATTAGTTTAACTTTAAGAACTAGCTAGTGAATGTGTTAATTTATTATTGAGTGAGGAAAATTAATGTGACTTAATGAGTATTTGCATGATACATATATATATATATATATATATGAAAATGAATTTTTTAAAAAATTATGATTTGGTAAAGAAAAAAAAAATGAATTAACATAATTTCTTCAAGGCAAGTGAAATTGTTTATAATACATTAATACTCTTTTGTTATATATTATGAATTTATGATTATAAAATATAGTAGTAGAGGTTTATATACTTGCCTATATCTTGTATTGAACCATACTAATAAGACCTTATTACCATTTGAGTTTGAAATATTAAATAATAATGATTATTAAAGTTTTTTTTTTTTTTCCTTTTTTAAATATGAAAATGTAGACCTAAGACCTGGCCTAGTTTAAAGAAAAGTGTTACGAGTAAGTCATAAACTTTCTTATGAACATTCTCTTTCGAGACACTGCATCATCTGACCAACGTATCACATGCTCTTACCAACATAATATAGCCGATTTCCCCTTCTTATTTTTAAAATCTACAAGCAACTCAAACTTTCCTTTGAATTTTAACATTTCTAATTCTATACCTTTCCTTTTGATCCACCTTATTAATAAACTATTTAAAACATTCATTGCCATTTAAAGTCATAACAACATCCGTTCCTCATTTTAATCCACCCCCTTTCAACTAGCCTAAAACCCTTACCCTCAAGATTCTTACAAGTATCTCCATTGATCAACCAATAGGCACCATTGTATCTTCTAGTTGAATAAGACTACCACACTTCTAAATGGATATACTATGTGTTAAATACGAGTCTAGCTACACTTGTCATGAAGAGATTGAGTCCATCTCACAAGTCCAAGGAGGTTTCATCCCAAAATCATATGATAATATCATAATAGGAATAGGAACTTAGGAAAAATACGTAGTTGATTGTTAGCCTTATAAAGTGTTCACTTTTCTTAACTTTTATTAATATGGGATACTTGAATGTGTTGTTCAATACAACTTTATCTGTTTGTTCTCCTAATAATGAGTTTTCATATTTTTGTGCATAATGTACTTCTAGCTCTAGATAGCTAATCGTGCAACTTCATTGTTTGGTAATTAATTCAAGTAATTGCCTTCTCCAAATTTAATTTCAATACAAAAAGATTATGTTACTATTCTGAAAGTTAAAACATGAATTATTTTTAAATTTTAACTATTCAGTGACAGAGAATGGATGGGCAAGCAAGACTTAAAAGAAGGCGTACAAAATTTGAGGGACAAAGCCAAACAATCTGCATTGGGTAACTAATGAATCATTGTTCTCCCCTGATGACTCTCTTAAACTATAGTTATCAATTTTGATCTCCATTAACAATATCATTCACTGAAATATTAATCTCTCCAGATGGAAAGAAGTATGCATCTGAGAAGGCAGATGTAATTTCAAACTCCTCATCATTCACAAAAGACGGCCTAGAAGAGGTATATAATGAAGCAAAGCATAAAGTTGAGGAAGCATATGAGTCGATGACTAAGTCTGGTCTTAGTGAAGAAGCCAAGGCCAAGTATGTGGCCGCAAAAGAGAGGGCCTCAGATGTTGCAGGTGAGGTTGGCGCTAAATGCGCCAGTGAATGAATCCGTCTTTGTCATAGATATATAACAATGAGGGATGATAGACAAATCTCCGAGCATGGTTGTTTGGTTATCTAGTCATTTCCAACAATTAAGGGTGTTTTTGAGTTTCTTGAAATAGTTAAGGTATTTTGGAACGAAAAAAGGTTGAGAGTCTAAGCACATAAGTTTGTTTGCCCTCCCTCATAACAACATTAAAGTTATCTTCTAGTATAAACTCATAAATTTTGTACACTTTTGCTGATCACTAATTCATTGTTAGTGTTTTTATTGATTAACTTATCTTTCTTTTTTTCCTAGCTAGATGAGGAGAGCATTATTTTTGTGTCAAAACCTTACCTTGAAGTGTGAAACCATCAAAATCTTTTTTAATTTTATCCTAATTTCTTTGATGAGACTTTCTGCCTAAAGCAGGTAATTTAAGAGGGAAATAGGTTTAATTTTCATTAAACACCCTTAATTGAAGAAAGGTCTTAAATGTCAAAAGGTCGGCACCCACCCTATGGGAGGGACAGAGAAATCAAATAGAGTACAATACCCAGACCACTATTTTACCCACCTTATAAACTTGTACAATAGGAAATCATCCTCCACTTGAAAGGGCATGGAGCCATGGACTCATGGGTTCGATTCTTGTCTAAGGAGGTTTTCTATAGGTCGTGAGTGCATTCAAGGGTCATTTAACTGTATAAAAGGTCGGAGTATTAATTAGATTTCATACATGAATAAAATAGTAGAGCAATTACTGCATCATTAAGCCTTTTATATTCCTTACTATATAGAATACTATTGAAATTTCGTCGAGAAACTCTAAATTTCTACCAAAAATTGCATTTCATAGGCTTAAAGCCCTAATAAACTCAAATTAAAGATACTCTTAAGTATTTTCAAAATCTCCAAAATACCCTCTACAAGACCTTTGGATTCCAAAAATTCCTTTCAGGATATGCATTTTTAGTATTGTACGGCTATAAATTTGACAGCCCTCTCATGATCTAGAGCTACAAGTTTAGAATATACTTGTACCTATTGAAAGAAGAAAAAATTTACTACTATACATGGTTTTGGAAGAGTATTGTATGAGTATTTATTTTTTTCTTGTACAAACGCGAATAGTGTAGTTAAAATTTGATTATACGTTTCCAATATTTTGATTAACTAGCTTATTTGACATTTACACGGAACATATTGTATGTCGTGTAACATGATTAATGTTTCAAAAATATAGGAACGTCAATTGGAAAGAGGATTAGGGTAAAATCTCAACATACCTTCGATGATTAGCAATGTATGTCGGTCACTTAGAGAAGCCAATGATCTATCTTTAGTCCAGCTTTTGAGTCTTGATTAATGTTGATAACCATGCTTTGCCATTATGCCTATAGTAAGGTACTCAATTACTCGTAATAGTAACAGAATTTTGCAAGGAGAAATGTGCAAAAATCTGGTTGCCAAATTCACCTAAATTAACTTCCTTTGAAAATGAAAACTCAAAAATAATATAAATCCATCATCTATTCCAAAAAAATAAAAATAAAATTAGATCATAGGGAGGGATAAACTCATTTACTATATTCTATAATCCTAAAAAAAATACACTAATCAAACTTAATTATTCACAAATAATCTATTCATTCTTTTATAAAAATTAAAAATTAAAAATTAAAAAAAAAACACTACATACATACATGATATATTACTATCAAGCTTGTTTCTTTTTCATAGCTTGCTTGTTATTGTGCATCCAAACCTTGAACACTTGCCTTTTAACACCCACTTCATGGCAAAAACGCTGCACTTGTACATCATCTTGTTTCTGCATCTTCCATCCGATTTTCTCAGCAAATTCCATCATCTTATCCTTTTGTTCTTGACTAAACTTTGTTCGAAATCGCTTCTTTGATACTCCGTATTGCTCTACGAAGTGCCCCCCGTAATCGAAATTCCCAGCGTTGAGGTCATCGCTTGAGGATTCAGCTGCCACTCCCCCGCCCCCGAACGCCATCATTACGGGCGCTCGGGGGTGGGAGAACTGTTTTCCTTGCTGATAGTAAACAGCGGGAGTAGTAGTATCAGAATTCGGGCGTACTGATAGAAGATTATTGTTGTTTTTGTGGTATTTGCTGAATGAAATGTAACAATTTGTTGTAGTCATAGCAGAAGGTGGTACAACAGGTGCCACTGGTAAAATTGTTGCTGCTGCAGCTGCAGCTAAAGTATTCGCAGCAGCTGCAGCAGTAGTTGTAGCTGCTGCTGCTGTTGTTTCACCTTCCACTTCTCGTCTGTGAAAATTGCGATGACAGTCGCAGGCTGCACACTTCAGGGCGAGGAGTGAACCCTCCTCGCCCGAAGGCATAAACTCACCACACCCATCTACCACGTGGCTCCCCAAATGAGCCGCGTGGTTTCTCTGACACTCCCGATAGCGGATCATATCCGCTTTCGGGCTGTTTGAGTCCGGACTTGAGCTCGGATCTTTGTATTTTTCTAGATGAGAGAGATCTAGGGTTGGATTTGGAGATTTTTCAAGATTATTGTGGGTGAAAGAATTGGGATGAAATGGAATCTCTTTATTTGGTTTCTTAACCTCCATTCAAAATCAAATCCAATACAAAATTGACACTTTTTTTTTAAAAAAAATGTGTCTAATTATAATTTCTAAAATGAAAAGATTAAAGGGTTAATCAAAATTCATACTATAGGACAAACAACAATAATTAGGGAAGGATTTAATGGAGAAATCTATTTATGGGGCATATACAGTAATTGATTATGGAACATAAATAAGGAAATAAAATATGATTTTGACATAGGTGGGTGCTTAATCCACTAACCCATATATGATAATATGCCCTATCTTAATGGGTTAGGAGGAGGATTTGATGGGTTGATCAATTAACACCAAAGAAGATAATTAACATGAAAATATAATTAAGAAGATGTAATTTCTTAATTAACTTTCATCATTAAAAAAAATATTAATGAAAGACCCCTAAAAATGTTAAATTTAGTAAAAATAGCAAGATAAGATGTGATTGTAAAGAGGAATAATAAGGGGGTGGAGGGAGCACTAGTACAAGAAGAGGGTGTAGTACAGAACAACCGACAGTAGCATGTTCTTCTTCCCCACGGCCTGCAAAATGGTCCAATTTCCTAATTATTGCTCCCACAACTATACTTTCTCCCCAAACACGAAACCAAACTCGAACCCGATCCGAACCTGGACTCTTTTATCGCTCTTTTTACTTGCGTGTATAGAGAGTTATAAAGGGTAATAATGTGTTGTTGCTAACAATGTCGACTTATATCATACGTACCACGTACCTTTACGATTTTGGGTTGTTTATATACTTTAGGCTAAGAAAACAAGCCTAAAGTCGGACAAACTTGTTGATGGGACCAAGAGCTTTGCTTTGCTTGCCTAGAATCTGCCTGCACCAATAAGAAAGTTTCCAAAAAAAATTAAAATTGGTTAATTAATTATGGTCTAATCATGTGATTAGCTAAGCTAATAGGTATAAAATGAGGTGAGATTAGAAGAAAGATAAAGAGCAGAAGAAAGAAAAGTGTTGATTTTTGGGGAGAAGAGGTTGGATTGGAATTAAAGGTGTGATGAAGATTGAAGAAAAAAAAGGGATATTGGTTGGTCCACACACCACAACACACAGCAAGTTTGTCAGATTTTTCTCTCTCCTCTTTCTGATGGTTCTGTATGGTGCGCCTCGACTTATTAATTGCCTGCAACTCCACTCATTTTTGACCAACCTTTTTTTATACTCCTACTCCGTAATTTGTATGTCGATAGAGCCGTAATTAAAACCGACAATCATGTAAACGGAATTCGAATAAAATTAAATCTTAATATAAGTACTCGTAGTATTTTAATTGGTAATTTGCTTAAGATTTTAACTACAGATTACTATTTATATGGAGTACTTTGTACTATTAACTTTTTTGGTCAAGTAACTTTGTGTTTTAGGGTTGTGAGTGTATTATGAAGATAATTATGGATTTATGGTCATCATTTATTCTGTAGGAAGGAAGAGTGAAAGAGGCATGCTGTTTACTGTTGACTGTTGATTAATAACAAAAATGTGTGTTTATGTTGAATTGCAACACTTTTGGTTAGCAGAATCAAAAGATTACATGATAATAGGGTTTTTGTTTTCCCTCCTTGGAGGTGTTTCAATTTTATCATTATTGTACACCTATTTGATGTGATCATGCATTCTAATAAAGATTTATAAAATGAAAGTAGATTGCAAAAAAAAAAAAAAAAAGTCACATCTAACAAAGGCCAGGTTTATATATTTGGGACGAATTTGTTTATTTTTGTAAATATAGAGTTATTTTTCATATATTTATTTACCACTGGTATGGTAAATATGAAACATTATTTCTTTTTTCTTTTATTAATCTTGTTAAGGAAAAGTACATGGGAAAGGGCATTTTTGTTTCATACTCCTAGTTTCTACTATGTCTTAGTATCAACTTTAATTAAAACGGAGTAATTAATATGAACTACCAACGTGTCCATAAAGTATTATTTTATTTTTTTTATTGGTACCGAGTTTTTTGCTATTAGTTTTTGTATAAGTGTTAGAAAAATAGGTAACATTATGAAATAAATAAATAATGATTCTACATACATAGAGAAGTTATATGGATCACTCTGGAGAGGATTATCTCCAACCATACAAGTTAAATTCTTTTGTCAAATACAAGCACACAATGTATGTAGTTTCTTGTCTTTACTTCTTATAACTGTAATACTCGGTGTATCCATAAATATGATGAACATTTAGAATGATATTTGTGTACTAGTCTTCTAGAATTGTTGAATTTAAGTAATTTTGAAACCACTAAACAATCCTACAAACGTGGGGAGGTACCATACCAATGTCTCTTAACTCCCATAATGGTACACATATAATTTCTATGTCCCAAAAATGGAACAAGAGTATCACTGGTGGGCACTTGCCATTATGCCATTGATTACTGCCCAAACCCAAATCATGTTTTCAATTACATGAAAATTTTAAATGTAATTTGTGATTGAATTTACACATCAAAGGTTTAATTAATGTGTACCGTGCGTGTTTGAGTTTAAATTTCCTAGTTTTGTTATACATGTAACTTTAATTTCAGCCTAGCCGATTTCCCTTCCATGACCAATCTAAGTTTAATTCAGGCAAGAGTCATTACGATCAATAATTAACTACAGAGTACTAGTTTAACTTATTGAAACTCATTTTAACTATCAGTGAACTTATTATTAATCGTACTTTGTAGAACATATTTAGAATTGTTTGAACATATTTCATTTTAACTATTAGTGAACAAATTATTTTCATCGAAAAAAACAGTAATAAATCAGCTAGTTAAACTAAAGATGATAGACTAAACATTTCAACTACTATATTAGTCAAGTCTCCAACTTAATTAGAACCATAACATTTGAAGGGCCATTTTAGGTCTACGGCCATGGATTAGTTGATCCTAAGTATGAACACACAAACGTATTTTTCTAAGATTAAGGCTAGTCTAAATTATTAAACTAAGTCAACTCCTGAATTTTCAATTCATTAAGCATTGTTTGTTGTTTAACACAGAATTTTAGCCCCTAGGCCCCCACCCTCTCTTCACTCCAAACCAAATTATACGGAGTATTTCTATTTTTCTCGAATTTGTATACGTAGGGTCTGTTTTCATACGTTGAAATTCAGTTCAGTTCAGTTCCTAATTTCCTTCTCTTATAAATTATTCATTTCATTTTAGTTCTGTTCAATTCAGTTCATTTCGGCTGAGTTTAGTCAATAAAAACAGGCCCGTAGTAGATCTTATTTTCTTGGACTTATCTTTCAAAAAAAAAACATGTAATGTGGAAAATATAATACTTGTATATTTTTTTCAAATAAAAATCAGATATATGCAAAATAAGTCAAATTGAACAAAGCCGTACAAGGATACACCCATACCCTACTTTAGCAAATGAAAATTGTAATTAAGGAACAATAATAAGGTTTAATAAACTAATAGGTAAGCCCCCACCGCCCTTCTGACAGGCTATAGATTACTTATTAGCCAAAAATAGCACTTAAATTCAATGTACCTTCGCTAACTTGTTCCCTTTATTTTACCTAGATTTGTCAAATAAGGAAACATTATAATTCCATAATGGTGAAGAAATGTAGATTTAGTTTTATATTTTATGAAATCAAAGGTATAAAACATGATTTGTTTAATCCTAAAGTTGTATAGATCTTTCAAACTTGACCACAATTAAGTTATTAATTTAAAGAAAAGACTAGAAAGTGCCAATTTGAAAAGATTAAATTATTAATTTTATTATAAATTATTGTTATATCCAACGAGCAATATATGTATATTTAATTGCATGAAAGATAGTAATAGAACGTAACGAATTAACGATTAAAGGGGAATCAATCAATCATTAATTAAATAAAATATTAAATTAATTTGACGAATATCTTTTTAGGTTTGTTATGCTTTGATTATCCGACCGTACTACGCGGCGTAATCACATCCACAAGGATTAGGACTGTTTTGTGTTAAAATAAAAAGAGATAAAGAGAAAGTAGTGGTAATAAAATTACACAATTATTGTCTATTGGCCTAATTATAATATGGTCGACCAATGAATTTAGAAAGTGACTAAACAATGTGGTTGATCTATGACATTAGCGAATTTTTTATATGATAAAATGAAGCAATTAGGTTATGCAACTATCTTATTTGTTGGAAATGTAAATTTTCAAGATATTGTACTACCTTCTTCTTCTTCTTCTTTTTTTTTTTTTTTTTTTTTTTTTGAATAGTGAAATTGTACTGTCTTCTATGTTCTTATCAAGCACTCTTTTTTTTCTTTGACGAAATTATCAATCACTCTTTTTCTCCGCTCTTGCTAAACTTTTTTTTTTTTTTTTTGTTAATACATGTAAGATGGTATTTTGAGTGTTGAATATGTAAAATTTCAGTCTTTTTGCCGGTTTAGCTTTTTGGGTAAATTGAGTTATCTACCATGTATTAGGGCCTGTTCATATTTACTTATTTTCAGTTCAGTTCAGTTCAGTTCCAATCAGTTCAGTTCAGTTCAGTTCAGCTCCGCTCCAATCAGTTCAGCTCAGTTCAGTTCAACTCATTTCAGTTCAGCTCTGCTCTTAATTTCCCTCTCTCATAAAATATTCATTTCAGCTTAGTTCAGTTCAGTTCAGTTCCAATCAGTTCAGTTCAGTTCAGCTCCAATTAGTTCAGTTCAGTTCAGTTCAGCTCAGTTCAGTAAATATGAACAGGCCCTTACTTGGTCAATCTAATACGAAGTAATAAAGATTGTATCTTATAGTTAAAACGCAATTTGAGGTTAGGAATTTTCTTATCCTTTTTTCCTTGCTTTCAAAAAGTCTGGCCTAGAGCCAAATAACCAAGTGGAAGTTTGTTTATAAACTATACGTAAGACCCTATTTAGTTCACCTTTTAAAAAAAAATATTATGTAAAAAAAAAAAAAGTTCAATTCAGCAAAATTAAGTTCATTTTAAAATAAAAATCAGTAACTCTAAAGAAGAAATACAATTGAAAAACAGTAAAAATAATTTCATTTCAACAACAATAAGGTGAAGTGAACAAAAATAAGGTGAAAGGAACAAAAATAAGTTATTTTGACGTATACACCAAAAAACTGATAGGACATTTTTTTTAACCTTATTTGAAATGAGTCTATACGAAAACTTCTAAATTTTCATATGGAGTATCGTGGAAACCAATAGGGTCTAAATGAGTATTTCTTATTGGATTATACTCGGTAGTGGAATTAGTCAATTAGTTGATAAGGAATTAGGCCGAATCACAGCAATTAACAATATTTTGCGTGCAATCAGGTGGGATATAGGGAAATCGTCATCAAACATGACATTAAATCATCAGACCGTTAAAAACAGTGCCTTAACGTATTCTAGCTGAACTAAGCATAGATGGAAGCTAGCGTTAGAAAACTGCTTGTGTGATTTTTTTTTTTTTTCCCATTTCTTTTGCACTATGTGGAAACCATTTCAAAAACGACCAAGCAGAGCTGCTCACAATTTCTTTTATTACGCCAATAATAGGAGGAAAACAAATGCATATTTTGTCTTCGTGACAAGAATTATCTACCTTGCACCGTGATCAAACCAATAGACTGCTCTAATCAAAGGGAACCTCATCCCACAACTTCCCCTTCTACTCTCGCCTATAAGAGTATAAGCTAAAAAAATGTATGTGCCTATCTCTGGCCAAATACCAATAAAATTAGGAGAATCCTGTGGTCTACCTTGTCTAGTCAGATTTCAAAAGAATCTGCTAATCCCTTGGTGAAAAAATATACAGCTACATGTATACATTCAACAGTTCGTATGAAAAAAAAAAATACGCCCTAAAAACACTGATAGAGATAGATAGCAGTAGACTTGGTAAATTATGCAGGTTGCACACTTTCAGCAGCCAGCTTTATTCTCTGATGGTGCTCAGATACTTTGTAATCTACAATTTCATTGAATAATTGCGAGTCCAATGTACAATCTGGCCGCCCATAAACAGCTGCTTGAACACTGGCCATCAGCTTTGCTATCTCGCGACCTGAAAACCCTTCTGTTTTCCTTGCAGCTTCACGAATCACATCTTCTGAAAGATCTTTAATGGTAATGCTTTGAGGCTTCTTTCTGATTTTAAAAACTGGGCCCCACTTAGATTTGGTGTCATCTTTGTTCTCATCAGAAATGTATTTGTTCAAATACAGATTCAGCAGCTTGTATCGTTCCTCTTCCCCAGGAAGTGGAAATTCAATTACATCATCAATTCGATCAGTGACAGCGCTATCAAGATCACCTGGCCTGTTAGTGGCAAGCACAAGAACTATGTCTCTTGACTGGTCTCCTGTACGGAAAAGCAACGCATTGAGAGCACTTCGCTGAGCTTCACTCATATATGTGCTGTTTCGCCTACAGCATAGCAAGAGAGTAATTAACATCAGACACATGGAGGGATCAAGATCAATTCCTTGATTATTATTATTTTTAATTTTGTTTTCTTAGGCTACCTTGTTTATCAAGTACATATTTGGTCATGTCTCAGTCTTTAGCCCCAAGAACCAAATCTAAATGGATGATGAATAATAAATTAAGGATGCCCTTGAAGGCAGGTTGGAATACTTCTATGGACATCAGCAAACATTTTCCATAAGCATTTGTTGGTTTGCCCATTTTAGGGGATGGATTTTTTTTTTTTTTCTTCACCATTTTTGTGAAATATAGAAGTATATATATTTTTATTAAAAAAAAAAAAAAATCACTAAGCAACAGAGAAAAGGATTCACTTACTCACAAAGGAACGCATCAGCCTCATCAATGAAAAGCAACAAGCCTTTTTTCGAATTTTTAGCCCAGTCAAATATTTCATGGATCTTGGTAACAGCTTGTGGACCCAAGGGTGCAACATCTCCTCCAGTCATCATGGCATAATCTAATCCCTGCACAATGTTTAGAAGTTAACATAAAGGAGTAATGGGATAATACATTCACATTATTTCAAACATCAAGTGTAGAAGAAGGCAGCATGGACATGACTTTCAACTTCCTTGGCCATCTTCTTCTACTGGGATTCAGAATTGATGCTAACAGCACAGAATGATCATCCAAGTGACAGACAAAATCATTGCAATAAAATTATTTATATTTGTTTGCACTGACCATGTTCTTAAAAGCATGATCTCAGATGTTCAAACTAACAGTAAGAGCAAAAATGATGTGCCTACACAGACAAACCATTATCCCACAAAAGGAGAAAGGAGGGGAGACAGAAATATGGTTGAAAGGTTAAATTTAAGCTCTAATTTTGCATGATATACTATATTAAAGCTTTGAATCAGATATCCTCCTTGTGGGAAAGCCATTCCACTAACAAAAAATGAGCCTATGTGCATAATTCAGTTCCGCAGGTGGACTGGCCATGTTCTCTGTCATCAACTCATCATAAATCATATGCTCTACTAACACAGGCCCAAAACAGAATGACTCAGCAGAACATTGACAAAAGATACAGCAATTAGGGCAGAAATCTACATGTATGACAAAACTTACCGACTTTCTGGCTATTTCTCTCGCAACCAGAGTTTTCCCTGTGCCTGGAGGCCCATAGAAAAGCATGTTACGAAAGGGAGCTTGGTGCGCCTTTGTGTTAGATGTAGCTCGTGCAAGTTGCTCAATTCTCCGCTGTAATGATGGATGAAGAACAACATTGTCAAATCCAGATCTAACAGTTGACCCTTTTGCTTCTCCAGAAGATGTAGCAGAAGAGAACAAATTCTGTTTCCTTCGTGAAGCAACTGCTGACCACGGGAACTTGGACATTGATGACTCTCTGATCAAGGATGGTTGGCCTAAAATGCGATTAATGTAACCCCACGAAACTCTAGCACCTTCTCTGCAAGCTCAATTGATGTTAGATGAAAACCCCAGGCAAATCAATGAAGACAGTTGAGACCACTTCATCTCAAAGTTAAATTATATCCTATAACTCAATATATTACAAGTAAGAATTTGTCCAACTTCCAAATTTTTAATCCTTAGTCTTGGCTTTTAATATTGTTCATAAATATATTATTAGTTGCAGTTATGGTTCACTTTATCCATTAGACACCTGGCCACTGTTTTAGGAACATGAACAGTCAATATGATTTTCTGCTTATTTGGACTAGGTGCATATTGATGTAAAACAGAAATTTGCTACTGTAGTATTTCTTTCTATCTACGATAAGCCACAGGAAGGACTCATGGTACACAATGAGTCGATTGTGAAAGAAAGCTTTGGTGAATGTTATTACAGACAAGTTTCTCCCTTCTGGTCCTAGTAATACTAAAAAAATTGGGGCCACTTGCGTTGGTAACCCAGCTAGGTGGATGTCTGAGAATAGTGAGAAACTGTAGCTCTTGAAAATTCGTTTAGCTCTTATTCTAGTGAAGGATAGTTGAATGGTATAGACTGTATCTAAACATTAAGTTGATTCAATTCTAAAGTGTTGGTAGTGATTACCAGTCTTAATTCCTTCTTTACTTGATCCTAGAGAACACAGGTACATCAACATTTGACTTTCCATGATTTCACAATCATTAATGGATAACAATTATATGCACTTTTAAAAAGGCAGTCATTCTAAATTACATGGAACCACTTATTCCATAATTGAGATGGAGATCCAACATCCATTTCACTTTCTTATTGACTTTTCCATGATATCCCAATCAAATGATGTCCCATAAAAATTGATATTTCATTAAAGGAATTAAAGAAATTGAGATTTAGGGAATAGGGGGATTTCTGGTGATCCATCCAAAACACTCATTCCTTGTCAACCCTAATTCTAAGAGGTAAAAAAGTCACTTAAAGTACTAAGGATTCCTAAGGTGCTGCCATCATGGGTCTTTTGAAACATCTCTATGTTGATTTGGGGAACGCTGTAATAATAAACATTAAGAAGCTTCAGATTTATGATGACACATTGATACCTTTGATTTAACAATGATGATGACAAGCTATGAGCATATATAATAATATATAGCTTAAGTTCTATTAAAACAATTAAACAAAATTGGGGAAAAAGAAAATAAGGAGCTAAAAATTAAACATAATGTCATTTACTATAAAAAAAAAAAAATCCCATGGAGGAAAATGTCAAAGCACATATGTCAGGCACTATGGTAAATTAATGAAGTAACATCGCAGGCATAATCATATATCACAAATCTATTAAAAGAACAGTCTACAAATGATGAGTGAGGGATCTTCTTCTCATCACTCGCCTTTGTGGCTCTCTAAACACCAAAAAAAAACAGCCTATACAGATGACAGCACCACTTCTTTTCTCCGTAAGACCGTAACAGAGAAAAAATAGGTATCTGAGACCACATGTAGTGTGAAAACTCTCAGTCGCTATGAAAGCTACAGAACTTCATATGCAAGGACATGTCATTATTATGGTTTTCGTGGCCAATAAGTCAAATTAATCGTGAGCAAGCCATATACAGTGCAAAACTACCATTAATTTTAAGGTTTTTTCATAGCTATCACAGTGTTTCTATTCCAACAACTCCATAAAGCTTTAAATGAACCTATGATGATTTGCAAGAATATATACACTGAAATGATAGGGATATAGAGAAAGAAAAAACATCACCAACAATTGACATTTATAATTGATAAGATTGGAGAAGGTTGGAGGCAGATACCTAGTCGTATACACTCCTGCAGCAAGAGCAGTAACCCCACCAACAGTCATAAATAACTTTCTCCTATCATTTAATAACTCCCTAAGACCCCCTGCAAAAGCAGTTAAAATCTATATTAAGTATACAGCATATGCAAAGAAAAATAGAATCTAGGGCTAATTTTTTGCAAGATTAAAATACAAGAGACAGCCATGATCACTATAAAATTAAGAGGGGGAAGGGGAGATATACGGAGCATCATAAAATAAATAAATAAAAGATGAGGCAAATTAACAGCAGAAACTGACAGAACAAACATGCCATAACTAAGAGAACCCCCTTTGGATGTTGAAATTTGAAATATATATGTACCTTCATTTTCTTCCCCACACAATATTCATCCACTTGTGTAAAGTAAAGCCCATACCAACAGCCCTAAACTTCACCCCAACTCTTCAAGACATTGGTCTATCATAACAGTTGCATGAACGCCTCACACTTCTAAATATAAATAAACCGAAAGATTTCTAGCAATAGAAGAACATGTTTAAATGCCAAAAATTCTACAGCATACAGAGAAATCTACATTTCAAACAATTTTTGTGAGATTGAATGACACACTATAAGCAGCTATTTTGCAAGAGACAAATGCAACAATCTAGACTTCCCTCAAGTTAAGATTTAATATGGGTCCCAAAATTGATGTACATAAATTGGCACTCTGGTAGCCAAACTAATCAAGAAGTTTACTTTATGACAATAACAGCTAAAATAAGACTAATTCTAAAACATCTCCAAATAATAGAAATTAACGTCATTAGTCTTTCCATATTTTATCAATACCTAAAGCAAAACACTCCATCTGGGCATTCACTAAGCTCCAAGTTTAAAGCCCAGCATGAAATTGTAAGAATGACACATAACTCACAAACATGTCCAAACTGGAGAAGCAAAATTCTAGGCTGACAACGAATTCAGATTTCTTTAGGATAAACATCAAGGATATGGCCTCCATAATGAGAAGATCCCCCACACGTCCAGCACAATCCTTGCCCCTTCCCACAAAAGGAAAAGGGAAACGAGGAGAGCCAACGGGCCAACTATAAGTGCAGAAGAATTTGGTTAAAGCTATATATCAGTGGGAATAAATGAATATTAACCTTCAATATGACTAAAGGTTGTATTAATTGCTGCGAGCCACTTGTCTTTTTCGCCATCCATCGTTTTTCGGAGTATGTTCTTGTTGTAATCCTCGGTCAGCTTTGCTTCGTGAACCCGGGCTTCAGCTTCTGCCATGGCTTTGACACGTAGAGTCTCCTGTTCAATTTTAGCTCTCTCTTTTTCAGTTTGGCGTTGTCGAGCCTGAATCTGCTCCTCAGTTTTCTGCTTTTCTTGTTCTTGACGTATGGCAGCTTCCTCTTGCATTTTTATCATTTCAACATTGTTTTGCCTCTGTTTTTCATGTTCTCTCTGCAAGAATTACGACTCTCTATTAAACTAAGTCCCTCCTGCCTTTTTTTTATTATTATTTTGGACAGATAATAAAAACGTTGAGATAGTTGATTTTTTACATCACAATGCAACCTGAATAAAATAAACAAGTTCCCATCCCAAATATTGGTAAGCAAGAGAAAAAAAAAATACAGGCGAGGACCTAGCAGGCAAATGTTTGATAATTCAATATACACGTGTTTTTGTAAAAAGAAAGAGATTGTTTAACCCACCTGCATCCTATCTCTGGCCATCTTATCTTCTTCTCGCTTTACTTGGGCTAACACCCGGGACTGTTCTTCAACCAATCGTCTTTGTTCTTCAGCCATATTTTGCTGCCCCTCCTGCCAAACAAGGGGTAGTTCTGGTTAAGTGCTTGAAGCATTATAATACATTTCTTCATACACATAATCATATACCTATTGTGCAAGCTAAAATTACAAAGCTATAGAATTGTAGAGTTGTTCACAAGCTATGATATTGAAAAGAGATTGAATTAACAGTTACGATGCCTCGGTGACGAACTCCTCTCATATTAGCATTCTCTTTTGGGGCATTGCAGAAGACATTATGCTAAATTACCCAATGTTCAAGGTGAACAGGTAGACCATCAGAGGGAAAAAAAAAATACATAAAATAAACTAAGAAACTCAAAACAAATAAATTGATACAGCAACAGGTGAAGCCATTGAATTTTTCATAAAGCACCTGTAACACCTTGGAGAATACAGGTAGAGCATCAGGGGAGAAAAAAATAAATACATAAAAAAACTAAGAAACTCAAACAAATGAATTGATATAGCAACAGATGAAGCCACTGAGTTTTTCATAAAGCACCTATAACACCTCCATACATCCCTACTAGGAGTCAAGTGAGATCAACGGGAAAAACCAAGGCGAGAAGTTGCTTTCCATTTAAGAAGACCATCACAGATTGTTTTTAGGATTCCACAAAATTAATAATGTATCAGGCACCTGCCTTCATTCTCAAGTGTCAAAGTTTGAGATGAAGATATATGGCTTGAAGCAGCAAAAAGATGGCATTGAAAAACATGCCAACTTTTATCTGCAACTCAGGACAGAACTAGTAGCAAAAACTATTTTGGCTCCCTAATCTATTTCTCAATTTCCGGTGAAAACACCTTGCTGGCACAAGACTAAACAGGTGGAATCTAGAGCTTTTCATTGCATTTGAAACTATGAATGAATACAAAACTTCATTAAAATCAATTACGGTCAACATATCAGTCAATAATTAGCAATTAAGAATCAAATGACACTACACATTTCCTACCATTAGGAATTCCGAGTCAAATTCCTACATTTACTGTCATAAAAATCAATTAATGTCAACATATCAGTCAATATTTAGAAATTAAGAATCAAGTGACACTATACATTTCCGACCATTAGGAATTAGGAGTCAAATTCCTACAATTACCTCCGCTCTAAATTCGATGATAGCACATTGTATACTATACTATACTATCAGCTCTCTAAAGCTCTAATCCACAAATGTTCGAGTAAATTAATATTATATCCTAAATATTATCAGCTGTTTGAGTAAAACATCCAATAAATAATCAACAAATTAATTGTAAACAAAGAACTGTAAAAAAATGAACTCACAATGTCACGCTTAATTTGGTGCAACTCCATCATTAATTTATCATTCTCCAACTCAGCCAATCTCGTTTTCTCTTGCGCCCTCATTATCCGATACAACTATTTCAAACAACATCAAACCAAAATTAATCACACCAATAACAAATAGATCGAAATTTAATTCAAAAAAATTGAAAAAAAAAATCAGTAACCTAGAAGTACCAACATCTTTGGAATACGAAGAACTGTTCATTTCTCGAAGAGCTTTAGCGGCTCTCTCAAGCGCATCAGGATCGAATCCAGAAGACCGACCACTCGATTCATCGTCGGCGGAATTACTCGCCGGCGCCGGAGAAGTTTTATCATCAGATTTGGGCTCATTTTCCGGCGAAGATCGGGAGTATGAGAAAGGATTAAACCAAGATGAACCTTCGGCGTAGGAAGGATTAGAAATTGAAAATCCGGCGGCCACAGCTGCAGTCGCCATTGTTGCGCAGGTTGAAAGCTTGATGGAAGACATTGTAGAGGAGAGAGAAATTACTAGGGTTTAATGGAGTTAGAAGTGGTTTAAAGAAGAAATGAATGAGAAGCCATTGTTTTGGGGTGATAAGGGTTTAGGGTTTAAGCAGAGGAAATGAGGGTTGAAGAATGATGCTGAAAGTTTGAGAATGTGGAACTTGGCCAAAAAGAAAGGGTTGTCGGGGGACCCGCATTGTAAAGACGTTAGGGGAGTTTTGTTTATTTGGGACTTGTTATTCATCGCCCGCAAATCTCTACATAAAGCCCGCATTTTATAATTTTTTGACAAATTTGCCCTTTTTATAATTTTAACGGAAGATAAATTTTTCGCACTAAAAAAATGTGGAGCAGCACCGGATCGCCGAGGATCACCGGAGAATCGCCGTCGTCATCGGAAAACGAGGTTCGTAACGCATCGTAAGGACGCCGTGGTTGTGGCGCCTAGCCAGGACGCCGCCACCGTGGTCACGGCGCCTGGTGGAGATGCCTCGACCATAGTAGTGGCGCGTGGCCAGGACGCCGCAGCCACGGCCAAGGCGCCTGGCCACCACGCCGCCACCATGGCGGCGGCGTCCTGACCAGGCGCCCCGGCCGTGGCTCCGGCGTCCTGGCCAGGCGCCAGTAGGGGAATATTTTTTTTTTTATTTTTTTTTTTTATTTTTTAATTTAATCCCCTTTTTTTTTTTTTTTTATTTGTTTTTGTTAATTTAATCTTAATGTAATTATATTTATACGTTATATGTTATTGTTACAGGATTATGGTGGAGACGGAAATGATTACAGTGGGATTTTTGTACATGATGGCCTGTTCGAAGATGCTCAACAAGCGATTGATTGGGCAAAACAGGTTGCAATTAGATCAGGCTTTTGTTTAGTAGTAGCAACTCATAAATCTCAACGGGATGGTAGAATGGATCGCATTTTGAGATGCGACCGCTATCGCAAAAGAGAAGAACGAGATTTCAGTAAAGCGATTCGGTTTGACTCAAAGCGGAAAGGTTGTGGGTGTCAGTTCCGAGTTAAGGTTCGACAACATCAAAGGCGTGACGGTTGGGAAGTGAAGGGTTACGGCAAATGGGGATATCACAACCATGAGCTGATAGCATACAAAGTGGGGCATCGGCAGTTAAGCGGCCTAAGTCCAGCTGCGAAACTAGTTGTAAAAGAAATGAGTGATGCTCAAGTGAAGCCCGCTAAAATATTAGCGTCTGTGTTAGAGAAATTCCCCGAAGACCAGCCAAACCGAAGACACATCTACAACGTCAGACAGAAATTGAGGTTTGAACGGTCAGAGGGAAGGAACCCTATACAGCAGCTTCTGCACCAGGCACAAGCACGTGGTTACCTTTACTGGTTTGAATCTGACGAAGACACATCGGAGGTGGGACAACTTGGACAAATCCAAGCTGGCGAAGACAGCGCTGCGGCATGCACGCCTCTACGATCTCGCGATACTGAATCAGTCCAGTGTAGAGGGTCCTGGGTACCCTATTACTAGGGTTCTGGCCGAAAGGCATCCAGTTCACCTGCACATTATTTAAAATCAGTAACAGTCATAAAATAAAGCATCAGATTGTAAAAGTAGAAATAATTTAATCACTGTACCTCTAAGGGGGACATCCTGTCAAGCGATAACCGTATGGAGCGCAGGCGGTCAACGGACTTCTTCTCGACACGCGGACTCCACGCACAGGCACGTGGCTGGCCATCACCAATGGGAACCGGGTCGCGGTGTGGTCGAAACGCAGGAAAATACTCGTATATCCAGGTTTGTAACAACGTCAGACATCCAGTGATACCTGCTGCATCAGCCCGGCTCGAGAATCCTAACTGGCGATACAGATACGCCAGCGTAGCCGACCCCCAAGAAACTGGCCTACTCTGTCGGGCTCACACGCGTCAACTATGTCGCGTGGCCTGAGCTTGTTCCCGCTCTTATCCGGAAACAAGGTACACCCGAGAAGAAGAAAAACATATGCAGCCAGTTGTGTGTCCTGCGTCCTACGTGCCGTAGGGTGCAAACATCGCTGCAAGACGGCTGCGATCTTAACGCCGCCGTGATCCCACACACCAAGTGCCGATGTGTACAGCGCAGCCCTATCCACCGCCAACAGCTCCGCTAGTAAATCTGCCTGATCCGCATCAGTGACGACAGATGCTCGGTTTCCCTCCACGGGAATCCCAAGGATGGCCTCGACGTCATGCAACATGATCGTCATCTCACCGAACGGAAGGTGGAACGAGTTCGTATCCGGCTGCCATCGCTCAACGAAAGCCGTGATCAGCGTCCAGTCAATCCTGTCGTGCATGGTGGCAGGAAGGTGACTGACTCTAGTGGCCCTCAATCGCCCGACCATCTCGCTCTCCTCCGGCCAAGCATCAGCCCAGCTACACAAAAACCTACAAGTCTTTTCCCGGGTTTGGCATTTCAAAATGCCTGTATCCAAAGCCCTCTCCTGGTCCTCCCAAATACGGGTAGCGATGTGTCCTAAAAAGCTAGGAATCACACTCCCGTCTATAGGTCCCCCGGCCACCTCACCCCTCACCATCCAAGAATCATTAACGGCCCTCGACCGTTTTCTGCTACCCGCAGACACAGTGGACGCAGATGATGTGCCAGATCTACTAACAAACCTACCATCTCGACCCTTACGCACATCTACCCTATGCGTCTCATACGGTTCATCAAGCCTCTGACTGAATGGACCGTAATCATCATATGGTCCACTCTGATCGTCGACATCCTCATCTGCATCATCCTCGTCCTCGACCTCCTCCTCCTCGACCTCCTCCTCCTCCTCCTCATCATCATCATCATCATCTTGATCGTCCGCAGAACAGTGCACCCGTTCTCTGCGGGCCGAGGCCGAAATACCACGGGATCTAACGTGTCTGGGCCCCGAGCTCTCCATTGAGTAGATCGTACTCCTCACGACGTCAATACTCTTCCCCGCACCAGGTCTAAATTGCGATGCCTAACTCCAAGTAAATAACGAAACATAATAACGAAAACAAATTAAAAAAAGTCGAAAATAAACACAAAAGCAAATAAACAAGTCACGGAAATAAAATTATAAACATAAAAAATATAAAATTAAAACAAATAAAAAAACAAAATTTAAAAAAAAAAAGATTAAAAAAAAAAAGGGAACATACAATTTAAAAAAAAGAAAAACAAATTTTTTAAAAAAAAAAAAAAAAATCGAAAATAAAATTTAAAATTAAAAAAAACAAAAAAAAAATTTAAAAAAAAAAAAAAGAACGAGGCGCCTAGGCAAGACGCCCGTACGATGGTGGCGGCGCCTAGCCCAGACGCCACTACCACGGCCGTGGCGCCTAGCCTCTGCGCCGCCGCCGTGGTAGTGGCGTCTGGGCTAGGCGCCGCAACCACCGTACGGGCGTCTTGCCTAGGCGCTTCCTCCGTGGTGGTGGCGTCTCGCCTTGGCGCCCCACCGTCGCCGGAGGTTTTTTTTTTTAAAAAAAAATTACAAAAATTAAAAAAATTACCTTCTGGCCGGCAAACCGCCTTCCGCCCACCGCCGGTGCCGCCACTTCCTTGTCGGGCCGCCTCGACATAGCTCTGGAAATAATTTAGAGAGAGAAAGTGGAAGTAGAGAGTAGAGAGAGAAATTGTGTGTTTTTTAGTATGAGGGCAAAAGTGTCATTTCACTCTTATTTTGTGGGCTTTATGTAGGAATTTGCGGGCGATGTTTAACAGTTCACTATTTTAAACGGGGAGTCTTAAACGCAACCTGACTTTACTTAGCGCAGCCTCTATTCCACTCATTTATTAGATGTAGGGAAAAAAATAACCATTTTATATTTTTTCCTTTCAAGTAATCTCTAATAACAAGAGTGCATTAATTTAACTTAAAATACATTGAAGAAACAAAGGTTTAGATCCAAAAATTCCCAATTTTCTCTCCCCTCTCATCTCCTCTCCTCCTCTCTTCTAGGGTTTCTCCAAAATCTTGGCCGTTTAGGCCGGAAATAGTTTAATTTCTTCGGAAATTAGACTATTTTCGACCCTTTTCCTTTAATTTTATTTAGTTTTGCAATTTGAATTTCAATAAATCTACACAAGTAGTGTAGATATTCGTCCATCTCCCTATGATGGAGTGTCTCCCTATGGTGGAGTCGTTAGTTTTTGTTAGTTTAGATGTTTGTTTTTGTTTAGGGTTTGTTTGTGTGTTAGGGTTCATCAAAAAAGTAATCATCTTTTGCCCTATTGTCAGTTCTTTGGTGAAGATTTGTTCGGGATCGCAACGGATGTCAAATTTTCAAATGCGTTCAGGCGAATCAGATGAGAATCATCCTTACTGCTACAACAAATCGTTAGACCGTCTCTCCGAAAAGGTTGTATATTCTAACGATGTGTACGAGAGATGTACCACAGTGCAAGATCTTTTCAACGATCGTAGCTTTGATGAAGGAAAACCTAATTTGATTCAATTTTATGTATTTGTTAAGTTAGATTTCATTTCACTACGTGAAAAAACGAATTTGGCACCGGTTCAAACCCGGCCTAAGGCACCGGTTTGAAACAGTGCCTATGTGAGGGGTGCCAAAAAGGGGTTTAAAAAGGCACCGGTTCAAACCGGTGCCAAAACTTGAAATTGGCACCGGTTAACCGGTGCCAAAAAGTACAAAAAAAATTTATTTAACAGTTTTTGGCACCGGTTAACCGGTGCCAAAAGTGCCAACATATTAATTTTTTTTTTTTTACTTAAAAATTAAATCTGTATTAATATTAATATAATCAAATCTATTCATTATAATATTAATATATATATAATAAAAAAAATACAATACAATCAAATCTTAATAATAACCAAAAGTGCCAAAATATTAATATAATCAAATTTGTTCAAAATAAATTACAACAGCTAAATCAAAATAAAAAAATTACAACATATAAAAAAAAATTACAATATAAATAAAAAAAAATCAGTTGATTCTTCGATTTAAGATCAATATACTTGCATGTTGATTCTACAATTTAATTCTTCAATTTAAGAACTAAATCCATATACCTGCACCAATTAAAACAACCAAAATGAATCGATTAACATGAATTAATTCAAAAACCCAGTAAATCGAACAAAAAAAAATCGAAAAAAAGAAAAGAATAACCCA